AGAGCGGACGCGGCTCTGGGGTCTCAGGTGGGTCCTTCGGGATGTGGGGGGACCAGGTAGCACCTCGGGAGGGGGGCAGGGCTCCAGGCTGCCCTCGTGGCGGGATGAACAGTCTGAGACTCGAAAATTGAACGTCTCTGGGTGGAAAACCCCCAACAACAAAAATAAACCCAACCTAAACTTTTTACCTTGGAAGTGGAGACAGGGACCCCAGTGAACCCCAAACAGTGGACATCACTTCAGCCATTAGTCCTGCACGAAAAACATTTGGTAGCATGTCCAACTACGTTGCTGACCCTTTAATAGCATTCAAGTCTGCACTTTTCCCCTAAGAACCGAGCAGGGAGCTTAGGTTGGGCACTGGGTGCTGGGGACCCGTATTTGTTTAGTGAGAAAACGAAAGGGAGCGTGGTTTGGGGTGTGGCTTTTTTGTGGGCTTTTTGTTTGTTTGATTTCTTTCCCAACAAAAGCTTGAGAGATGCTTCTTAAATATAACACAAGGTTCCCAAGTCTCGAGAAAGAAAAAACAAATAACAAAAACTGCAAAGTTGAACCCCGAAAGATTAACATTGTCCAAAAACGTGTATTTGGGGGAACTGCCCCTGCCTGTGCCTGGAGCTTTATTTTATAAACTTCATAAGAGGTCATATTTCCTAAGAGCGCTGGTGTTAGACAAATAGGTTATCTTAAAGTAGCTCCAGTATATTTTTTCAACATTTTTTTTCTAAGTGTGTGTGTACCGTCACATCGGATCTGACTGCTGACTGGTAAAATTGTCCCTCCTTCTCCAGCAGAGCATCTGGTGGATCTGAACTGTACACCTCTGGGATTGCAGTGCAGCTTCTTGCCACTAGGTCACCAGCGCTCCCTTCCAGTATTTTTAAATTTTTTTTCAGAATATTCAGTAGTTCCAGCAATTATTTTATTTGCCTTAAGAAACAAAATGAGCTAAAAAGCCCTCTTGTCACTGAGTATCTCCGGGAGGATTGCTACTCTCTTTGTCTGGTTGACCTCAGTGCCTGACACAGGAGAGCCAGTGAGTCAGTTCTTATATGTCATTGTTGGGTAATAAAGGCTAAGTTGATTTCTTTCCAGTGTGTTCTAGAAAAAGAAAAGAAATATGCATATCATAGTGAAAATCTTTACTCTTTTACCTTCTTATCTATATAACTTTGAGATTTAGGAAACAAAACAGGACAGAAAATAGAAAATTCTGCTTTATTTGCTCCATTTAAACGGTATATAAAGAACCCTGGTGACCTAGGTAGGTGATATGTCGGGAAAGTATGGGCATTAATTATATTGAATGACCCAGAAAGCATCAAAAGACCACGGGACTACATAGCATCAGTGCAGCAGAATTGATTGACACTGAACAATTTCAGGAAGCACTATTTGAACAGGAGGCAATGATAATGGAGAAGGAAATAGAAGCTGCACTGAAGGCATTGACAAAAGATAGGGCCCCAGGAATTGATGGCATACCAATTGACTTGTTTCAATTAACAGATGTAATTTTGGATGTGCTCACCAGTCTATGCCAGGAAATTTGGAGGACAGCTGTCTGGCCAATGGATTGGAGGAGGCCCCACATTTGTTCCCCATTCTAAAGAAAGGTGATCCAGATGAGTGGGGAAATTATTGAATAATAATCATGAATGTCACATGCAAGCAAAATACTGCTGAAGATCATTAAAAAACGGATAGAACAGTACATAGATAGGGAACTGCCAGAAGTTCAAGCAGGATTTAGAAGAGGCTGTGGCACCAGGAATATCATTGCTGATGTCAGATGAATCCTGGCTGAAAGTAAAGAATACCAGAAAAATGTCTCTTTGTGCTTTATTGATTATATAATGGCATTTGACTTTATGGATCATAACAAGTTATGACTGACATTGAGAAGAATGAGAATCCCAGAGCATTTAATTGTGCTCATGCAGAACCTATACCTGGTCCAGGAAGCTGTTGTGCAAACTAAACAGAGAAACACTGCATGGTTTAAAATAGAAAAGAGAGTGCATCCGGATTGTATTCTCTCTCCAGAATTATTCAATTTGTATGCTGACCAAATTATCCAAGAAGCTGGGCTGTGTGAAGAGTGTGGCATCAGGATCAGAGACTCATCAATAACCTGCGTTATGCAAATGACACAACCTGGCTTGCTGAAAGGGAGGAAGAATTGAAGCACTTGTTGCAGAAGATCAAGGAGTGCAGCCTTCAGTATGGATTGCATCTCAGTATCAAGAAAACAAAGATTCTTACCACTGGGCCAATAGGCAGAATCATGATGGATGAAGAAGAGATTGAAACTGTCAACAGCTTCATCTTACTTGGATCCACAGTTAACACCCTTGGTACGAGCAGTCAGGAAATAAGGAGACACATTGCACTGGGAAAATCTGCAGTTAGGGACCTCTCCAAATTATTGGGGAGTACTGATGTCAGTTTGAGGACTAAGGTGTGTATGATTTAGGCCATGATCTTTCTGATTACTTGCTATGCTTCTGAGAGCTGAACAGTGAAGAAGGATGACAGGAAAAGAAATGTCGCCTTTGAGTTGTGGTGTTGGAGAGGAGCACTGAATATCCCATGGACAGCCGAGGGAACAAACAGATATCTTGGAGTGGGTGAAGCTGATATGCTCTTTTGAGGCAAGAATGATGTATACTTGTATACTTTGGGCATGTTGCTAGAAGGTGCTATTCTTTGGAGATGGACGTGATGCTGGGATAGGTGGCAGGTCAGCGAAGGATAGGAAGACCTTCAGCTAGGTGGATTGACACGGAGACTGCTGCAATGGGCTCCTGTGTGTCCGGAAGTGTGGGGATGGCGCAGGACAGAACAGGGTTCAGATTTTTTGTTCATAGGATCGTGATGAGTTGTATTTGACTAGATGGCACTTGCCAACAGCAACTAACATCTAACTAAGCAGTTGTTGTTGTTGTTGTGTACCTGGAATCGAAACTGACCCCTAGCTGACCCTCTGGTGAGGAGATTGCCCATCCTCCCGTGGTGCAACTGGTGATCTTGTTCCAAGGTCAGCACAGCTTCTTGCCTCTGGACCACCAAACCTCAATCTTTCAAAAATCCAGGCAAAGGGAAAATTACGTGTATTAAAAAATGAGTAACAAATGGCGCAAGGAAGTATGAAATTTTCATATTAAGAAGTTTGTCTGTGGTTTTCCTTGCACTGTTAGGTGACTAAAGTTTTGAGCTTTTCTATTCTTGTTCCTGACATTGTTCTATCCTTGCTGTCCTAAAAAAGGTGACTAATTCTCTGTTGGCCTTCCCAAAGGGAAGAAGCCGAACAGCATGACTCACAATTATAATCTTTCTTTTTTTTCTTCATATAAGAAAATTGCCTTGCATGTGTGACTTTATAAAACATTTAATTGAGAAGAAGCCTTACTAATTGCATTCAGTGAAGTGAAATGCCCCCTGAATAAGACCATTTATTGGTCAAATTACATTATCAGCAGAGCCATAAATCTAAATAATCTCATTCTAATGAGATTGATAGACTTTTCTTTCATTCTTTGTAAAGTAGTCCTTATTTATTGCTTAGCCTTATGCAAATCTATATGTTGTTGTTGTTGTT